CAGCAATTACCTCCAGTTTGTTATCAAGTTGAGAGTTGATTGAAAAGAAAAACGCGTTTTTGAAATTTGTTCGACGAGGGAGCCGCATTGACTATATGATGAGAAATGTTCGTTTGAATGACGAGCTTGCCAAAGGTGCACTCATGTATGACTGAGGGGCTTTGAGAAGAAATGGGTGACGTAATCGTGATGCTGCTCGCTTAATTTGGATGAATCCATGCTAGCAAAATTGTGTCTTACCTTTGCAGCATTTTCGAAGGAAGGGATTTAGAAATCCAGGAGACAAATCCAAGTGCATGTATGCGAGGAAATGGTGGCTAAATTTGTGCTCTCCCCGCCTGTCTCCCAGCTCCCTCTCTCCCTCTCGGCAGGACAAAAGCTCTCTCAGTTCGGAGCAGAGTCTTCAGGCCCGCAGAGTTGGGAAATGTGATTCCCTCGGTGAGAAACCCCACCCGTAACCCACTCAATTGACCCTCCCGCCCCTCACTGGGTGAGCGCTTCGGTCAATTTTTCTCCATTAATTTGAGCCGAATAGGTTCTGCTTCTACTTTAGCATGTGACACTTTAATTGTACTGAATGCGAATATATGACTTAATGATGGATACATTTGTAAGGAGAATACGACATCAGTCATGATCCGGAAAACTGGTTTCAGGAAACAATCGGGCCTCCACCCGCTTGCACTTGCTGTGGTTTCCATGTGGCACAGTGCAAGGCAACACATAACGCCAAACCCGGGATGCTCCTCAAGGTTATTGTAGTACAACTTTAGGTGTGCAATTATCCAGAAAGTCCTTGAGCGCTTTTAAAGTGTCTGGTGCTTGTTGTTCAAGTATGTAGAGAGCTGGAGCTACTGCAGTAATACTGTCCCACAGGAGCCACTACAGATTTGAGTCACGCTTTAGGGAGTTAATGGCGGAAGGGATGAAACTGTTTGCATGTCTGCTGGTTTTGGTGCGGAGGGTTCCTTAGCGCTTACCTGAAGAGAGTAGCTGGAAGAGGTGGTGGACAGGGTGTGCGGGGTCCAGTAGAATTTTCAGTTTCCTTGTCTTGGTTCTTGCAAGTCCTCGAGAGTGGGTTGGGCAGTACCAATGACTTTTTTTCCACAGTCTTAACTGTCCGTTGCAGTCGGATTTTGTCCTTTTTGCAGTCGAAGTAAGGTGACGTCACATGTGAAATGCTGCAATCTGACATGACATCATGCATAACGGCACTTTGAACATTAAACCTGATTACTGCGCGACTTATGTAATTAGTGATTCCCAAACCTACCATTATATATTAAAAAAAAAACAGTTTGACA